CTATTGTGGCTGTCTTCAATCCGGCACCGTTACTGCAAAAAAAAAGTGCAGGGAAGATGTCGATATCTGAGAGATCGTTATGAGGAAAAGTACTCAAGTAGGAACTCATACAAATGACAAAAAAAAAACCAAATTCCAAAATTTTTCAGCTCTGGGAAAGCAAAACTTTCCAGTTTCAGTTGTCTTCGACGAGCGGCCTCCAGCTCGACGCACCGCTTGATTTCCTAGCATAGGATGTGCTTGGGTCGAGGCGTGCGCCAAGACTCGGCGCATTCCGATTAGTCGAAGGAAGTCCGCAAAATGGTATTAAAATTTGTTCATCAACCACCTTCAGAGCGATATACTACTTTCTCAACTACACTTGTGCCCATATCGAACTGGATCAAAGCAGAGTAAAGGATAAAGGGTAAAGTCTGGGCGTTGATCAATCCGTCGTCAGAGGGATGCGCCTACGCATTCAACTTCCATTCAGAATCGAGGTGGCGTATTGAATGCGTATGTGGCCTATACAATGACTTGCGGTGGCCAGCTGATGTACAAGTCAGTGCTTTTACCCTCCCAGACGAGTCTGGTACCAATTAACCGACTCCGAAGGGATGGAGTACTTGTTTGGCCTAGGCGGATATCGATTCGGGATTCGAACCTCTGACCAAGCGTCTGTGAAGTACGCCACTTGTCAATACACAGGTCCGCCATCAAAGCAGAGTAGTTCCTCTTACTCAATTATTTTTTCTAAAGAGTAACATATCGCAAACGCCTTTTTTTGAGCTCGAACCATGCTTTTTACCCCATAATTTTGCCTTACCCCTCCATATATTTGTTTACTATAATCCGTGTCTTGCATTACTATTGCGATCATTGAATAAGGAAGAGTAAAAGAGCATGTTTTGACTAATAATTGCTGTTCTTACGCCACAGTACGCGATGCGAAAGTCTCACAAGCTTGGCGAGTTTTCCGAAGTAGAACAATATTCGATGATTCCAAAACATTGCCGTAATGCGGCCAAAACGTCGCAGTTGACGCTTGATGTTAAGATTCTCCTTTTGCCCAGCACCAGTGGAGTGAGTCAATGATAGATTTCTTTACCACATAGGCAGAAATTGCTTAGAAAGGCCTCTTCCTTATGAATTCGTTGGAAATTTCTTTAATCTGACATTTAGGCCCCTAGTGCTACCGTATAATTCTTTGTTAGAATGTTTTCTTCTTCTTTTACGTTGTGCCGTATTCGCTGGTCGACTTACGCCCTTTTGCAGTATATAGTGGTTCCTATAGAATCATGGACGATCGCGTAGAGGATAACATGGCTTTTATTATGAACGTGGGCGAAAGGATGTCGGCTTTGATGGCTTTAGGGAAGCCTCAAAAGGTCAGCAATACTGTCCCAATCGTGAGGTGAAGATGTTTTCCACTTCTTTTGGAAATCTATCACTTTCAAAAGTAGAGGTTTTTGAGTTTCTGGACCGCGCTGAAGTTCGGATTGCCTTTCAGGTATTACAGAAGTATGATAGAGGTGCATCGTATGGCACTATCCTATTTGAAAAACCAAGATTTGGAGAGAGCGTTGGTATTGCTGATACGATTCTGCAGGTGACTTGATCGATTCTTTCTTTGCATTGCAGATCGTGAGAGTGAGACTAAACCCACTCTTGAAAGTTTCGCTTGTAGGCTTTAATTAGTATTGGTGGTATGCGATAACTGTTAAAAATACCATCCCGAATCATAGATATAACGTCCTTCTTCATGATCGCGCTGATACTAACCCCATCCACCCCTGTTTCTGATGCGATATATTTCCTAGGTGATTACTTCTTGAAGCTCACCACGTTTTTCTCTACCATAAGGGTGATTTGAGCAAATCTGAGCACTGCAATGTAATTTTCCTATCCAATTTGGATGAGCAAACATGAACTGACGTAGGGTTAGGACTACTCACATGGACTTCTTTTCCGCAGATGACTTTTTTTGAGAACATAATCTTCTCTCTATAATATACTTCGTTCCTACTTGAGCTTGCTTTCAGTTTCACTATTGAAGAACTGCCAAAACATCACGAGTTCAATACCTTTGCGGGTGAAGAAAAGAGGACTGTTTTTGCTCTGTTGAAACCGGCTCTTGACCGTGTAATAACATTTTTACATTTTTTTAGTTTTCAATGCCCATTCTTCGGTGGTGCTGATTTGTTCCACTTTTGTTATGCCGCTCATATAGCATTTACTGGTTCAGGCAGAGAATCTGAAAAAGCTATTGAAAGCAAAGTTTGAAGTAGAAGCTGAAGAGGTCAGGAATTACAATGCTGCACGACAAGCTAAGTTGGTAAGATTTGCTTTGTTTCTCGGAAATTGCCCTTTACTTTTGGCCCACTAGTTATTGTTTAGCATTGTTTATAGCCACCTATAGGAATGCTAAAATCTTGACGATGTGTTGGCTTAGTTCGAAACGCATATTCTGGCTAAGCTTTAGCATGCCCATAATTCATTACACTTAGATAACGTTTCATTAAGAAGAGAAAGGAATCTACAATCTAGGCTTTGAATAATTTCAGGAAGCGAGGAGAGCGCAAAGCGGTCAAGCTGCTGAGAGGCCGACGTCAATCGCAGCAAGTGGGGAGGCAAATGTCGTCAATATTGTGTAAGTGATAACTAAAATTCGCCATACAGTCCAACAAGTTTCTTCTTTCATCGTCTCTATATCACTCAAAGCTTATTTGGGTGGTTCTGTGA